ATAGTATATCTTCTTTCAGTACAAATTCTATATTTTACTCATTATTATTATGTCATTTTGTTTTTTCGGCAGCTCATCACGAATGCTAAGGTAAAGAGTGTGCACCACAGAGTGCTCGCGAATAATGTGGGCCCAAGAGTCTCGGTAGCGTTCTTTTTCAGGCCCCATGTTGCTAGGCTGTATGGACCAATGAAGGAGTTGGTATCTGAAGAAAATCCTCCGATTTACAGAGAAGTTACGGCTGAGGAGATGATTCGGGTCCGATATTCAAAGGGGCTCGATGGGGTCCCTTTGCTATCATATTTTAGGATCAACAAAGAGTCCCCCTAAGTGAATGTATTATTACTATATGGTATTTGTTTTTATGTATGCTGGAGAGTGAACCACTAAAACCTATGTATTTGTTATTGTGTGGAGTATTAAACAGAGTTATGTTGCCAGAATTTCTAGTGAAACTGTTATTCTACTTGTCATCTAAAATGCAGATTTCACTCCCTATGGTATTTTCTTTTAGGTTCTTCTTTGTAATAGAGACATGCTAATGAGAAATGAATTTTGACCAATATCAAGGACTAGAGACCACAGAAATGCTTACAAAAAATTTAAAATTTGTACCCCAAATGTGCTAGAATTTAGTTAGGAAAATATCACTTCATTGGATTTGATCGATTAATCGAAGCATCGTGCTTCAGGTTTCGATTTCAATTTTTGGCTCAACTTCATGATTCTGGAATTCTATTTTTCATTTGACATCTCTGAACGGAGATAAAATTTTCTAAAAGCTTTTCAACCATATTGATGAATCGTCAACTGTTTGCAAAAACCATGAGTCAACGTATTATTTCCAATTTAAATGCCGACCTTCAAACAGCAGAAATCGTCATCGAAAATTCAAATTCAATACTCTTGGGCTCCATATACTCTTGTTAGGCCTTATGCAATTTCAGGTTCGGTGCTTTGTCCCGGTCTTCTGTCGTGTGAGTGGTCTCTCAGCGGTTGGTGGCGGGGCGGACGTGGAGTTGCTAGTCTGTTGGGGAGGAGGGCTTCATTTAGTTTATTGTTGTATTTTCTAGTTGTTGTTAGGTTTGTTTTTGCCCAGGCCCGTCTTTTGGCGCTACTGGAGTTGGATGATTACCTTGGGTGGGCTCAATCACTTATTGAATACCATTCGTGGTGGAGGTCGAACAACTTCCTTGGTGTTGCGGGCGGGGGATTATAGTGTTGTGTTGTGGGGTTCGTTTTGTTGGGTTTTTCTGGTTATGTTGGTGTTTGTGTTGGTTTTTTGTTTTGGTGGTTTTTGGCGCTACTGGAGTTGGATGATTACCTTGGGTGGGCTCGATCGCTTATTGATTGCCATTCGGGGTGGAGGTCGAACAACTTCCCTGGTGTTGCGGGTGCGGGATTATAGTGTTGTGTTGTGGGGTTCGTTTTGTTGAGTTTTTCTGGTTATATTGGTTTTTGTGTTGGTTTTTTGTTTTGGTGGTGGCGTGTTTGCTCCTGAGGGAGAGCGCGCTTTCTCCCATAGGAGAGTGTGTAGTCTCCTGTTTTTTAGAAGATCGCTTAGAAACAACACTGAAACAAACGCACCCAACTAACAATAGAGAACCGAAACAAACTTTACACCTGGAGAATAAAATCTTTTGAGCTGTCCTTTCGGCTTTTATGTGTTTTTTCTTCTATAAAATTTATATCATTAAGAGGACAATTTATGTGCAATGAGTACGGATGTGCAATCCACAAACACAAATGGAGGTGAATTTATTAATTTGGGAGGTGATAAAAGCTCGACTCGTTTACACCTCCTACTTATAAGTAGGAAAGGAAGGTGAATGGGGCAGGACGGGTGACTGAGTGTATATCTACAAAAACATATATAAGGTTAAATGGAGGTTAATTTATTAATTTGGTAGGTGTAAATAATTGTGAAATTTGACCAACACAACTACCCAAGGAAGGACACCATCAAATTTCACATAACAACGAAACTTTGAGGTAGCATCAAATAGTACCAACGTCTAACATAAAAACATTTGACCGAATCAAAAGAATTAGATACGGGACATTAAAATTTCCAACTTATTCTAACAATAAACTAATGCAATATTTCAAACCGGCATAAAAATTCAAACGAAAAAGGTACCTAAACCAAGATAGTATCATTGGTGATTAACCATATCTACCAGCATATGCACTTTGGAAAAAAATTTGCTCCATTGCATGTCAAAGTTAAGAAAAAGGCTGACCAATTCACATATCAAGCAGCGGGTGGCCTGAGGTGATGATCTTGGGACGTATCACGAGCAGACGGGGGTAAATACTGCCACATGGGAACATAACTGTAACCGGGAAACATTGGCATCTTGTTGGGCCCGGCCATATGAGAATATATGGGTGGTGGATGAGCTGGCAAGAACCCACTCGGAGGTAGGACTTGCGTTTTCAATTGTTGCTCTATCCTTTCTTTATCTGCCTTGAGCACGAGCTTCTCTTCACGAAGTTCATTCTTCTCAGCCTGTTACGGAAATGAAATGAAAAAGATATGAGAATTCAACAGAAAGAAGTCACAAGTCTGATCTGTTTTATTGATTTCAATGAAAAGTGAATGAAAAAAACAATCAGAAATTACAACACTCACTTAAACCTTTTATTCCTCCCAAATCATTCACTTCAACTCATTTTTCTTTTCTTTTTTTAAAAAAAAAACCATGGCCAAATTAGTAGAGATTTTTCACATCTTTTACTATATATCGACTGCTTTCAACTTTTATTCACCACTACTCTCAAACCAAAACGAGAAAATTCAAAAAATGAAACAATATGGTGCATATTCAGTTGTGTAACCTTCAAAGTTCTGATCTCTTCCAAAAGCTTCTCATTTGTCTCTCTATATTCCTGGGATTCAGCTTTTAATTGGTTTAGAACTCTGATCGCATCACCAAGTAAGGCTGATTTGTCGGTTTTCATCGGTCTTCCAGGTTCCAAAATAGCAGACAATTCTGAGAACCTTCCGAATGACAGATATGATTTCAATGCTCTAACGCCAATTACAATATTTCATTTTAAATAAGATAAAGAAAATCTTTTGAGCATCTTAACGCAACGCTGAACTTCAATTTCATCTAATAGGTTGTACCTTTTTTGATAAAATTCAATGACTTCGGCTCCACAGAAAATGTTAAGAAGAAGACTGGAAATTAATTCAGGAACACAAGTGAATAAAAATGTGTACCTCTCGTTTAATTTTTCTCTTCTCATTCTCTCACGACAGGCTTTAGTTCCTCCTCCACCGCATTGATCACTACGGCCCCTGTAGTGATGCAAGAAACGATGCCCCAGGTAATATCAATAAAATTCCCATATGTTCTTTTAAATAATTAGGATAAAGTAAGAGTTAAAATTGATTTTGATTCACAATAAATTATTTAGAAATTCAAAGATGATATTCATTTACATACACAACATGTAAAAAACCAAAAAACCAAAATCAATCCGGAGGTCGCTGCTTCGTTCACCTAAGTATACAAATTTATAATAAATTGGTTACTTAAAATCTTTTCCACTCCTTTTAGTGGAAATAATAAATCAACATTATGTAATAAACATGTCCAATTGTGCATAAATTTATAATAGATTGAGAGCCGAAGAAGAGTAAGCATAAACCTATAATTACAAGGTTAACATTATCCAACCAAAACACAATTGCTTTCCTCAAAATGGATAAAATTATGGAAAATAACCTCTTTTTTCGGCATTCTTGTTCTTCTGCACACTCATTGACTAGAGATGCAGCTCCACTAAGTGGAGCATCAATTGTCAAAACAGCACTGCACCAGAAGGAGAGAAAAGAAATAAATAAAGGAGAAATAGTTGATCTTTAACAGATAAAGCATTACTCACAATTTCTGGTGACACGCAAAGTTCCATATACATTAAAAAATTTACTAGTAAATACATTCTACAATGTTGGACAAGGGGCAGCAAGTAAGTTGAACTCTCTGAATCTCAAAGTTGTCACAAATACACTGTTAGCGCTTTAAAAAAAATAAGAGCCTATTTTAATTTCGAGGACAATACTTAGTTCACTCTCATGCTTGATTTTACGAAGATCTAAATATGTTCAGCTACAACTACTTGTACCATTGGTCATGCTTTTATTGTACTTATCGTAACAAACTGATTAAATTATATTACGGCAACTAGAATGTTTATCAAATAGAGTCAGGTAAAATTCTCATCATAATAAAAAATTATTCTCATTCACAATAAGACTGAGAAAGGTACAACTATTGGATGTTATATAACTACATATAATCTAAGTATGTAACATATAGAAAGAAAAGTGTATAAGATGGAAGCTTCCAACGAGCTCACAAGGATATCTCAAAATTTCATTCAACGACCTTCAATTACTGAACTTCCCATATAACAAGCAGCATTAGCTCAAACAAACTGATTTATTCCCCATCAGCACATCAGTAATTGAATGCCAAAAAACACAGATTGAGGATTCTCTGAATATTGGGTAGCTGTTGCTAAACTGGGACGAATACTATACGAAATGGTTCGAGTAATGGGAAATATAGCTAGAAGGGCTATTTTAATAGCGGCATCCAAAATGCCTCCTCGAACTCAATTTATTATATAGAGATAAACAATGTGTGTATCTAGAGAATAGCCTAGAAAAATTAAAAAATTGTAACACAAAAGGAAAGGAATTTCCCCATTTCAAGTTCATCAATCAATAGCCAGGAGTTCAAATCCGCAAATTTCGAAAAA